GGGATTGGCAGAGAGCATGCATAGTTCCTTTGTATAAATGCAAAGGGGATAAAAGAGGGAGTAAAAATTATAGGGGAATAAGTCTGTTGATTATACCTGGTAAAGTGTATGGTAGAGTTATTAGTGAAAGAATTGAGAGTAAGACAGAGTAGGATAGCAGATGAACAAGGATACTTTAGGAAAGGTAGCGGATGTGTAGACCAAGTGTTTACAGTGAAACATATAGGTGAACAGTATTTAGATGAGGGCAAAGAGGTTTTCGTGGCATTTATGGATTTAGAAAAGGCATGTGACAGGGTGGATAGGGGGGCACTGGGGCAGATGTTTCAGGTCTATGATGTAGGAGGTAGGTTACTGAAAGCAGTGAAGAGTTTTTATGAGGATAGTGAGGCTCAGGTTAGAGTATGTAGGAGAGTGGGAGATTATTTTCCAGTAAAAATAGGCCTTAGACAAGGATGTGTGATGTCACCGTGGTTGTTTAATATATTTATAGATGGGGTTGTAAGAGAAGTGAATGCGACGGTCTTGGCAAGAGGTGTGGAGTTAAAAGATAAAGAATCAAACACAAAGTGGGAGTTTTCACAGATGCTCTTTGCTGATGATACTGTGCTCTTGGGAGATTCTGAAGAGAAGTTGCAGAGGTTGGTGGATGAATTTGGCAGGGTATGCAAAAGAAGAAAATTAAAAGTGAATATAGGAAAGAGTAAGGTTATGAGGATAACAAAAAAAAATTATGTGATGAAGGATTGGATATCAGATTGGAGGGAGAGAGTATGGAGGAGGTGAATGTATTCAGATATATAGGAGAAGACGCATCAGCAGATGGGTCTATTAAGGATGAGGTGAATCACAGAATTGATGAGGGGAAGCGAATGAGTGGTGCATTTAGGAGTCTGTGGAGACAAAGAACTTTGTCCTTGGAAGCAAAAAGGGGAATGTATGAGAGTATAGTTGTACCAACGCTCCTGTATGAGTATGAAGCATGGGTGAGGCTGGAGGCAGTGAAGATGTCATGTCTGAGGGCAATGTGTGGTGTGAATATAATGCAGAGAATTCGTAGTTCGGAAATTAGGAGGTGTGGGATTACCGAAACTATTATCCAGAGTGCTGAGGAGGGGTTGTTGATGTGGTTCGGACATGTAGAGAGAATGGAACAAAACAGAATGACTTCGAGAGTGTATAAATTTATAGTGGAGGGAAGGTGAGGTAGGGGTCGGCCTAGGAAGGGTTGGAGGGAGTTGGTAAAGGAGGTTTTGTGTGCGAGGGGCTTGGACTTCCAGCAAGAGTGCATGAGCGTATTTGATAGGAGAGAATGGAGACAATTGGTTTTTAATACTTGACGTGCTGTTGGAGTGTGAGCAAAGCAACATTGATGAAGGGATTCAGGGAAACCGGTAGATGGTAAGTACAGTGTCTACACTCTGAAGGAGGGTGTTAGTGTTGCAGTGTTATAAATGTAGTGTAAAGCAGCCTTCTGGCAAGACAGTGATGGAGTGAATGATGATGAAAGTTTTTCTTTTTCGGGCCACCCTGCCTTGGTGGGAATCGACCGATGTGTTAATAAAAAAAAAAGATTGAGAGGTATAAATGGACAGCAGGAATTAATAAAGAGGATGTAAATAGCGCGCTAAAAATATCTAGCATAGACTGGAATCGCAGCAATGGTTTCAATTTGGAGAAATACAGATTCAGAAAGGATATAGGAAAACACTGGTTTTGTAATAGAGTTGTGGATGAGTGGAACAAACTCCCGAGTACCGTCATAGAAGCTAAGACGTTGTGTAGTTTTAAAAATAGGTTAGATAAATACATGAGTGGGTGTGAGATGGACCTGACTAGCTTGTGCTTCTAGGTCAGATGCCGTGCTCCTCCCTTAAGTGAATGTCACTGACCTGACTAGGTTAAAGCATTGGCTTAAGTCGGTGGGAGAATTGGACCTGCCTCGCATGGGCCAGTAGGCCTGCTGCAGTGTTCCTTCTTATGTTCTTATGTTCTTCTGCCTGGTCATCGTCGAGTGAAGACTTCTTTTCGTACTCCTGTCAGTGAGATCTCTGTTCTCCGTTACTCTTGCCACGTTAATAAATCAAATCAAGTTTATTCTCTATAAAGGTTACAATGTGGGGTTTACAGGATTTGGATATTGTGTGATTTACATGTTATAAAATACTAATTACAGAGGGGGCCACTAGGACACCTAGCATGGCTAGGCATTTCGGGCAGACTTAGATTAATTCTTAACATTAAATCCTTACAGATTATGGAATTAAGGTTAGGTGACTACATTACAATTTTTGAGTTTAGCAATGTGAATGCTTTTGTTTTAGCACAATACAAAGTGTCTATATTGGAGTATCATAGGCAACTTATGACTAGTTAGGATTCATTATTTTAAGATTAAGATTAGTATTTCTGGGTTTATAGTCAGTGGGTGAGTGAGTGTAATTGTGAACCACCAGGTGGTTATCATGTAGTTAGTTGTCGGGGTGGATCAGGGAGATAAGATGTTTTCTAACTGTAGTTTTGAAAGTGATGAATGTGTCTGCAGTTCTAGAGTTTTCAGGTAGGGTGTTCCAGATTTTAGGTCCTTTGAAATACATTGAATTTTTGTAAAGGTTTAGTCGGACACGGGGAATGTCATAGAGATATTTGTGTCTGGTGTTATGCCTGTGGATCCTGTCACAACTATCAAGAAAGCATTTTAGGTCAAGGTTAATTTTGGAATTTAAGGTCCTGTAGATACAGATTGCACAGTAGTAAGTGTGGATGTTCTGAACAGGGAGTAAGTTTAGATCTATGAAGAGTGGGGGTGTGTGTTGCCAGGGATGGGATTTAGTGATTATTCTTACTGTGGCTTTTTGTTAGGTTATTATTGGCTTTAGGTGTGTTTCTGCAGTTAAACCCCAAGCATAGATAGCATAAGTGAGGTATGGATATATAAGTGAATGGTATAGTGTGAGAAGGGCAGTTTGCGGCACGTAGTATCGTATCTTGGAGAGGATTCCCACCGTTTTGGATACTTTTATTATGTGTTGGATATGGGTGCTGAAATTTAGGTTGTTGTCGAGGTATAGGCCAAGGAATTTGCCCTCATTAAGTCTGGCAGTTAGAGTGTTGTCGATCTTAATGTTAAGTTGCGCAACACCTGCTCTGCTACCAAACATAATATAGTAGGTTTTGTCAGTGTTAAGTGTAAGTTTATTGGCTGTCATCCAGGTCAGAATTTTGAGCAGCTCCTCGTTAACAATGGTGTTGAGGGTGGTAAGATTAGGGTGAGAGATGACGTAAGTCGTGTCGTCAGTAAAGAGAATGGGTTTCAGGTGTTCGGATATGTTTGGAAGATCATTGATGTAAATGAGGAAAAGCAGGGATCCAAGAACACTTCCCTGCGGAACTCCAGTATCAAGTGGCCGTATTGATGAGGCTGTCTTTAATGGTGACATCTGATACCTATTAGAAAGGTAGGATTTGAAATATGCAAGCGCATGGCCTCTGATACTACAGTGATCAAGTTTGTGGAGTAGTGGTCAACTGTGTCAAACGCTTTTCTTAGGTAAATAAAAATTCCTAGCGGATATTCCTTATGTTCGAATGCTGTGTAAAGCAGGTCTAGCATTTTTATAATTGCATCATTAGTGCTTTTATTTTTCCTGAATCCAAATTGGCAGGGTTGAGTATGTTTTGTGTCGTTATAAATGAATACAGTCTCCTGTGCACGAGTTTCTCGAATATTTAGGATAGCAATGGTAAGTTTGATATTGGCCTATAGTTGTTTACATCTGTAGGGTCACCACCTTTATGTACTGGTGTAACCCTTGCTGTCTTGAGTAGTGTCGGGAAAATGATAGTTTATAGTGACTTGTTAAAAAGTAATGTAATAGCATGCGAAGGGACATGGGCCGCTCGCTAGAGTTTTCTGGTACAGTAGGTTCTTGCTAGTGAGCCGGAACGTATATATTGCAATCTGTGTAATCTTGTTCGCAGAGACTAAGTCAAAATAAGGAATTTTTGCTCTTTTATGGTTCAGTGTCGTGAGTCACCTAGTATGCTTTAGGTTTTTAAGTCTAACTCTTGTCGTACCGTATTCTGACTGACATGTTCACACTGTTGTAGTCAGTGTTTGGAAGTTACTAAACTTAGATTCAGTAATTTGTAATTTTGGAAGACATGTCAAGTGTCCCGATGTGTTTCCAGCTTCCTTGTCTGACGCTCTGCTCCTCACAGATACTTTAACTGTCTTCCTCTTAGGTGAACTGGTAGCTACATTGTTATTCGAGCAAGTTGTGCTTAATAATCATAATCATAATAATAATAATAAAATAATAATAAAATAATATAATATTTTAAATATTAATTAATAATATTAATTCTTATTTACTACAAGTTCATGTACAAGATATGCAGACCATAGCTGACATCAGTGACATACTACTATATAACTGACATCAGTGACACTACTATATAGCTTACTCAGTTAATATCCATCATAATTTAAGTGATCTATCTTGGACATATAGAATAGACGCTTGTATAAACCACCTTATGTGTAATAAAAATTAATAAGAAGCATGAGCTTAAACGGGGCATAAGTTCACAGTTTTTAAATAGGTGTGTTGAAGCAATATTAACGTTACATAGTTGACACAGGATCCTGGAATAACAACACCTCAGGGCATAACTTACCAATGAACTTAACTTTATCAACTTGAGACAAATATCATTGTACAGTTAATAAGGCTTTGCAAATTAACTGTTGTTTCTCCTTCAAATTATCCCAGTTCATTTAATTTAAAAAATGATGTTAGTAATTTACATGAAGTCTTTGCAGATACAGCAGCTTTCATTTTTTTTTCTTGTGCTGACTTGGTCAACTATGATCAGTAAGGCACATGTACAACACTAGGAATCTTGCAGTGTTGCACTGAGTCAGTGTTTGTCACACAAGTGTTGTACAAGTAGGAAATTAGATATACAAGTGCTTAGCACATAACTTGTTGCTTCAGAATGGCGGCCCAACTACCTGGGCAGGCAACAACTGGCCTCTGAGGGGTAACAAGAGCTCGTTGTTTGAGGGAGGAACCAGAGGCGTTGCCTTCGTTCATTCTCCACTACTTCCCAACCCTGGAACAGTCTCTCACCAGTTAGTATTATCACCAGTTAACTCTTTAAATCACTTATCATCACGAATTGCTATTTCTTCCAGTCAGTTACCACCAGGTGACCATTTAATATATAATTTAAATTGCATATTATCACTACTGTTTTTTTCACCAATCATTAGATATAAATATATAACAATATTTTCCTTATCTGATGATGTAAGTTTTTTTCTTTAAGATTATTGGAACCTCTTCTTGACTGACAAACTCTCCATTATTTGTTACACAAATCAGCTTTCTGGCTAAGACGTATTATCATATCTCAGTCGATTAACAACCAGGTACCTAGTTACTGCCAGGTACCTACTTACTGCCAGGTACCTACTTACTGCCAGGTGAACTGAAATAACAGGTACAGGGAAACATGCCAAAGTTTCGACTCATGCCTGGAATCGAACCATGGACACACAGCATATGAGCTAAGTGCACTGCCAACCAGGCCACGGTACAACTGTTATATAATGACAATTAACAATTAAAAATACACAGTTCATTTTGCACAAAACGATTTATTAATTATTTTTTGCTAGCTTGAAAGGTAAACTGTTAACAAACTGCTAAAATTAACTGTAATAAAACAGTTTATCATTATTAATAATCCTTGCAACACTGTCATTATTTAACAGTGTTATTATTATTATTATAATTATTAAGAGTTGTTTTAGGGTGGAAAGATAAACTGATAGTGGCATGATGTGACCGGGGAAAGTGAGACAATCAATTTTGACCCATGTATGGCAAGGACAGCTCTAAGTCCTTGGATGATGAGACCTTCCTCGAAACCTTAGCTGCGTTATGTTAATGCTCGCATAATCATGTTTTTTTTTATTCTATTTGTTTTGAGTCACCATTCGAAATGAATGTCACTCTGTTTATACAGTAAATTAAGATAATGCAGGATTCTTCTTGTTAGTTTCCTCAGCATCTTCTGCTGCAGCTCAACATCACATCCAAACTGTCTCATAAAACTGTCTCATAAAACTGTCTCATAAAACTGAAAACACTTTTCATTTATATTTATTATCTTTACTGATAAACCAGAAACTTTGAAGTAAAAAAAAAACCAGCTCAGTTTTTGTTCATTGAATTTTACAATTATAAATTTTGTTTGTAAGGTTTAAATTATTAAATGATTCGGTACGTCAACCAATGGTTCATACTTACCTATCATTATAAGAGAAGTCTTTTCTTATAAAAAAAATTATATTGAAAAAAATAAATATGCCCTCAAAACGACTTATTATTTTGGATGATATCACAAGATAACATAATGGGTTTATACTCAGAAAGTGACATAATTGATGTGTTCTTAAGATTGATCCACGTGACGGACTGGTACCAGACCCTGGCGGGCCTAGCAGGGGCCGAGGCTCCTGCGAACACGGACGGTGTGGACCAGTGGCCCACCATCACTGGGTCTGTCCCATCACCAAGGACCGACATGATCTACAACATCGATAATACAACCAAATTCTCCGCCGCGGTGAGGTGAGGACGTGTGTAGAAAACTTTAAGATGATCTTTATGGTCCAGTAATGTTTGACTTGAGTTATACACTGACCTCTCATGGTGCTATGCTGGCAACATTAATAATACCTCTCATGGTGCTATGCTGGCAACATTAATAATACCTCTCATGGTGCTATGCAGGCAACATTAATAATACCTCTCATGGTGCTATGCTGGCAACATTAATAATACCTCTCATGGTGCTATGCTGGCAACATTAATAATACCTCTCATGGTGCTATGCTGGCAACATTAATAATACCTCTCATGGTGCTATGCTGGCAACATTAATAATACCTCTCATGGTGCTATGCTGGCAACATTAATAATACCTCTCATGGTGCTATGCTGGCAACATTAATAATACCTCTCATGGTGCTATGCTGGCAATATTAATAATACCTCTCATGGTGCTATGCTGGCGACATTAATAATACCTCTCATGGTGCTATGCTGGCAACATTAATAATACTCTCATGGTGCTATGCTGGCAACATTATAATACCTCTCATGGTGCTATGCTGGCAACATTAATAATACTCTCATGGTGCTATGCTGGCAATATTAATAATACCTCTCATGTGCTATGCTGGCGACATTAATAATACCTCTCATGGTGCTATGCTGGCAACATAAAATACCTCTCATGGTGCTATGCTGGCAACATTAATAATACCTCTCATGGTGCTATGCTGGCAACATTAATAATACCTCTCATGGTGCTATGCAGGCAACATTAATAATACCTCTCATGGTGCTATGCTGGCAACATTAATAATACCTCTCATGGTGCTATGCGGCAACATTAATAACTACCTCTCATGGTGCTAATGCTGGCAACATTAATAATACCTCTCATGGCGCTATTCAGGCAACATTAATAATACCTCTCATGGTGCTATGCAGGCAACATTAATAATACCTCTCATGGTGCTATGCTGGCAACATTAATAATACCTCTCATGGCGCTATTCAGGCAACATTAATAATACCTCTCATGTCTATGCTGGCAACATTAATAATACCTCTCATGCGCTATTCATGGCAACATTAATAATACCTCTCATGGCGCTATTCAGGCAACATTAATAATACCTCTCATGGTGCTATACAGGCAACATTAATAATACCTCTCATGGTGCTATGCAGGCAACATTAATAATACCTCTCATGGTGCTATGCAGGCAACATTATAATAACCTCTCATGGTGCTATGCAGCAATATTAATAATACCTCTCATGATGCATGCAGGCAATATTATAATACCTCTCATGATGCTATGCAGGCAACATTAATAATACCTCCATGGTGCTAAAGCAGGGAACATTATAATACCTCTCCCTGGGTGCTATGCAGGCAACATTAATAATACCTCTCATGGTGCTATGCAGGCAACATTAATAATACCTCTCATGGTGCTATGCAGGCAACATTAATAATACCTCTCATGATGCTATGCAGGCCAAAATTAATAATACCTCTCATGATGCTATGCAGGCAACATTAATAATACCTCTCATGGGCTATGCTGGCAACATTAATAATACCTCTCATTTGGGGCTATGCAGGCAACATTAAAAATACCCCTCATGATGCTATGCTGGCAACATTAATAATACCTCTCATGGTGCTATGCAGGCAACATTAATAATACCTCTCATGATGCTATGCAGGCAACATTAATAATACCTCTCATGATGCTATGCAGGCAACATTAATAATACCTCTCATGATGCTATGCAGGCAACATTAATATTTAAGTGACTCTGTCAGTTATTATACAGTTAAGGTCAACTAAGAATATTCGGAAAAACGAGTTTGTCAGTTCATTCACAATCTGAAACACTTTAAAAAATATTATTTACGTCTGTTTTGAAAAATAAGCAACCACCCAGGAAAGTCTCTATCCACAATGGGAAGCAAATGAGTGCCAGGATTGCCTTGTATTTATCGCTGTTCGTCATTCCCTCAACAAAAAGCTGTTTAACAGTAAAACTACCCTAAAACGTCTTCTTTGGTGGATGTTTTGGCGTTTGTTGAATGTGTCCTTCTCACTACCTTTAATTTGTACCCATGTACTTCAAAATGTACCACATCTAAAAATGCAACTTTTCACCATTCTTTTTTCGTCCATCCTTTATGATCCGTTGCCCACCGTAATGTTTTTCCTTCATAGCAGCGGTCAATAACTGCTTCTTTATCGGCTTTCTGACAGTTCCGTCAGCTTCATGGAGCCTTCTTCGTCGAACAGTTGAAGAATCAACATTTACGTCAACTTAAGTCAAATCTCTCTGCAGATCTTTGCTGGTTTCCTTGGGATCTTTCACAATATTCCTTACGATAACCTTGTCATCTTCCTAGTTGCATTACTTTTCAGTTATCAGTGTCGTCAGTTCTCTTAAGAATCCACCTAACAGTTGACTTTGCTAGGCTTAAATTTTCGGCAGTCTGTCTGATACCCAATCTGTCTGATACCCAAATCAGCATGTTTTCTAAGAGCTACAATACTTGCGTACTTCCTAGATATAACATCCATCGTGAATTTCAGCAGTAATCATAAACTGAAGGAAAGAATTTGGCGAAACCACATTCACACTTTCGGCACGCTTGCAGGAATAACTTTACAGAACACCAGCTGTTGTAGCACTGGTGAGAGTCGCAAGGTAACACCACAGATGGATGCTTGCCAGAAGTCAGTAGCAAACTCTTCTGAAAAGAACCTAAACTACATTAATTAAGCTGGAGACTAAAACATTAATTTGAACACTACTTTACAAGTGGGTAATTTGTCTGCGTTTTTGTTTGTCGATCTTCAGGATGGGAGAGTTCAAATTGTTGGTGGGTGACCCAGGTTGGGGAGAATGGACGCCGCCCCCGGAGAACGACACCAACATTATTGTACAGGAGTCTAACCATATCAACTCTAACACACATAAGATGCTGGATGATGGGCAGGAGAGGATTCAACACCTGCTGCACCTCCTAAACGCCAACGACACTCAGCTCAGACTCTACGACCTCACAGGTATTTATTAGACGGGAGAAGTGAATACATACTTAGAGTGAATGTAGTTTTCCTGGGGATAATTAAAGGCCAAACGAGGTAAAGAATGTTTAACCAAAGTAACAACAAGAAGTCATTTAGTGGTATACCTAGAATGTACCTGTATGGGGTTTCGGGGATCAACGCCCTGCGGCCCGGTCCGTGACCAGACCTCACGTTGGATCAGGGCCTGAACAACCAGGTTGTTACTGCTTGCCATAAGTAAACCGACGTACAAGCCACAGAGTGGCTCGTGAGGTACTGCGCTTTCTTAAAGACAGCCGGAGATCTATTGGTAATCCCTCCTATGTAGGCTGGGAGGCAGTTGAACAATTTTGGGCCCCTGACGCTTATTGTGATGTCTTGTAGCGCACTTGCGGCATCCCTGCTTTCCATTCGGGGAATGTTGCATCTCCTGCCAAGTCTCTTGCTTTCATTGGGAGTGATTTTCGTGTGCTGATTTGGGACTAGCTCCTCTAGAAGCTAGTCCCAAATCATGTATTATTATGTATCTTTCTCGCTTGCATCCTAGGGAGTACAAATCAAGGGACTTCAACCGTTCCCATTAATTTAGGTATTTTACGTGCCATTAAAGTTCTCTATATTCCACAAGCCTGCAATATTCCGGCCTAGAGAGAACAAGCGATTTGAAGAAAATCTTCATTGGTTTGGCAACCCTAGCTTTTAAGGTTCGCATTATCTATCCATCACTTTCCTGTCAGATGTAGTATACACAGTTTTGATCTTTGAAAGTTAGATCCTCTGACATTATCACTCCCAGGTTCTTCACAATAGTTTCTCGCTCAATTGTGTGGTTGGAATTTATTTCAAATTCTGATACAGTTTTAATTTCCTCTCGTTATCCATAACAGAGTAACTGAAATTTGTCTTCATTGAACTTTATATTGTTTTCTGTAACCCATTTAAAGACCTGGATGATGTCCACTTGGAGATTTGCAGTGTCTTCGACGGATGACACTGCCATGCAAATTCAGGTGTCATCCGTAAAGGAGGACATGGTGCTGAGGCTTACATCTCTCTCTATGTCAGATATGAGGATGAGGAACAGGACGCGAGCAAGTATTGCGCCTTTTGGAACAGAACTTCTCACTGTAGCCGCCTCTGACTTTATTTACTATTACTCTATGTGTTCTGTTTCTTAGGAAGTTATAGAGCTATCTACCAACTTTTCCTGTTATTCCTTTATCATAATTCCATTTGTTGCAGGTTTTTGCAAGGTTTGGACTCTCTGACCGCGGGTTCAATCCCGGCCGGGGTATGGTTTGTTTGCAATCGTGTCATTACGATTTCGTGAGTCATGATGACGGCAGTGAGGGGACTTGAGCTAGATTTCGTGGCAACGTAGCTGGAATCGTCTTAAAAATTGCATTTGGGACGGGTGTGTGCTATCCGGTGTAGAAATATACCTAGTTGGACGAATCTTATTGTGGCTAGCTGGTCTAGTGGCTAACGCGACGGGCTGGAGTTTTGAGACTCTATGACCGCGGGTTCAATCCCGGCCGGGGGTATGGTTTATTTGCAATCGTGTCATTACGATTTCTTGAGTCATTAATTTAGATTGTCGACTCTTAGTCTAGTTAACAGCTCACTACACGTTGAGTCATTCTGAGACTTCAGAATCTCATTTATTTCTTTGCTGTCATCTGTGTAAGTCCCATCTCGTCTAAGCGAGGGTCCAATACTGGATGTTGTTTTTGCTCTGGATTTCGTTTAAGAAAAGAAGTATTTTGGGTTACTTTCAATTTCAATTATGGATTTCAGTTCTTCCTGTGTTTCCAGTGTCCTGTAAAATTCCTTAAGCAAATATCGAACTTAAGTTTGATATTTGCTATTTCTCTGACTAGGGCCTCCCTTCATATTTCAGATATACTGGTCCCTTTCAGCAGCTTTGTAATTCTTCACCTTCGTCTGTATAAGGAACGTCTCTCTCTTTCTAATTTACACATTATTTTGTTTTACATAATGTGCTTTGAGCATTCCTCAAGTGCCACAGATTTAATTCCTCTAGGCAAAGGTTCGGATCCGTGTTGTTTAGGATATCTTCCCAGCTTGTTACATTTAGGACATGGTTGATCTCACCATATGCTTCTATTATAGAAGCTGAATTGGTGCAGGCACCATCATAACTGAGCACCTCATGCTGGTGAAGGGCAATTTTTCCAGGAAATTCAACCTAACTTCTCTCATCCTCGGATCAAACTTAATTACCACCACTTACCCAGCTGCTGATGGAGTCTCATTTGTTTAACGCTTTCAGCTTAGTGTCATATTGTACATCGACTTTATCTGGTCTGCATTATTATATGTGATGACGTAAGCAAAATGACACAATGACGTATTGTATAATGTTTATGTTCTTCATTTTTCCTAATATTATTAGTAATATTTTATCAGTGTTTATAAAATATAATACATGACATCATCTGAAGTTACTGTAGCGGTGTTGTCAGGGTCTGGCGGCTCAGTAACCTTTCCAGTCTTGAAGTGGAGTTAAGCTTGTGACTGACGGTGCTACACATCCATACACTTTCAAAGACAATTATAGCTTTTTTTCTGAAAAGTGAGTAATATTTCCAAGTTCTTCTTCTATCGGTAAAACTTTCTTCGTTATTCATGAAGAGTTTGAAATGATTTCTACAGACATGATTCAGGAATCATGGTTCTACAAATTTTTATCGTGAATTTTATAAACCTTGTCGTTAATGTTTTATTTATTTTAAAATACCCCAAATAAAATACAAAAAAACATAAAAAATTTGGATGCAATATAACAATATATTTTAAAATTCTTGCTGAATGTTTCTTTATTAGTGTTTCTTTGGCAAAATTTTTGCTGATGTATTGCCCGTTCAAAAATCATTATTAATTTTTGATCTCATTTTTTTAGGAAACTTCATGAAATTTCTAATATATACGACTTACCACCTGCTTGACTTACAATAAAATAAATCATTGAAATTGAACTATTATCAAAAAAATATCCTTAATAATTATGAGAGATAAATGGCGGAACAGAGATTTGTAACGAGTTGTCTTAATAAAAAGAAGAAATCCTAATAAAATCCTTATGAAGAATATTCAGTAAAAAGGACGCGCTGTTGTATATTTTATTTATTTTTTTTATTATTATCACACTGGCCGATTCCCACCAAGGCAGGATGGCCCGAAAAGGAAAAACTTTCACCATCATTCACTCCATCACTGTCTTGCCAGAAGGGTACTTTACACTACAGTTTTTAAACTGCAACATTAAACCCCCCCTCCTTCAGAGTGCAGGCACTGGGACTTCCCAAACTCCAGACTCAAGTCCGGCCTGCCGGTTTCCCCCGAAACCCCCCTTTATAAATGTTACTTTGCTCACACTCCAACAGCACGTCAAGTATTAAAAAAACCCTTTGTCTCCATTCACTCCTATCAAACACGCTCACGCATGCCTGCTGGAATCCAAGCCCCTCGCACACAAACCTCCTTTACCCCCTCCCTCCAACATTTCCCATGCCGACCCCTACCCCGACTTTCCCTTTCCCTTACAGATTGATACACTCTTTAAGTCATTCTGTTTCGCTCCATTCTCTCTACATGTCCGAACCACCTCAAAACCCTTCCTCAGCCCTCTGGACAACAGTTTTGGTAATCCCCCACCTCCTCCTAACTTCCAAACTACGAATTCTCTGCATTATATTCACACCACAAAATTGCCCTCAGACATGAAAATCTCCACTGCCTCCAGCCTTCTCCTCGCTGCAACATTCATCACCCACGCTTCACAACCCATATAAGAGCGTTTTGGGAAAAACTAACTCTCATACATTCCCCTCTTTGCCTCCAAGACAAAGTTCTTTGTCTCCACAGACCCTAAGTGCACCACTCAACCCTTTTTCCCTCATCAATTTTATGATTCAACCTCATCTTTCATAGACCCAACCGCTGACACGTCCACTCCCAAATATCTGAATACGTTCACCTCCTCCATACTCTCTTTCCCTCCAATCTGATATCCAATTCTTTCATCACTAATCTTTTTGTTATCCTCATAACCTTACTCTTTCCTGTATTCACCTTTAATTTTTTTCTTTGCACACCCTACCAAATTCAAACCACCAATCTCTGCAACTTCTCTTCAGAATCTCCCAAGAGCACAGTGTCATCAGCAAAGAGCAGCTGTGACAACTCCCACTTTGTGTGTGATTCTTTATCTTTTAACTCCACGCCTCTTGCCAAGACCCTCGCATTTACTTCTCTTACAACCCCCCATCTATAAATATATTAAACAACCACGGTGACATCACACATCCTTGTCTAAGGCCTACTTTTACTGGGAAAAAATTTCCCTTTTTCCTACATACTCTAACTTGAGCCTCACTATCCTCGAAAAAAACTCTTCACTGCTTTCAGTAACCTACCTCCTACACCATACACTTGCAACTTCTGCCACATTGCCCCCCTATCCACCTGTCATACGCCTTTTCCAAATCCATAAATGCCACAAAGACCTCTTTAGCCTTATCTAAATACTGTTCACTTATATGTTTCACTGTAAAACACCTGGTCCACACACCCCCTACCTTTCCTAAAGCCTCCTTGTTCATCTGCTATCCTATTCTCCGTCTTACTCTTAATTCTTTCAATTATAACTCAACCATACACTTTACCAGGTATACTCAACAGACTAATCCCCCTATAATTTTGCACTCTCTTTTATCCCTTTGCCTTTATACAAAGGAACTATGTATGCCCCTCTGCCAATCCCTAGGTACCTTTCCCTCTTCCATACATTTATTAAAGAATTGCACCAACCACTCCAAAACTAAAATCCCCACCTGCTTTTAACATTTCTATCTTTATCCCATCAATCCCGGCTGCCTTACCCCCTTTCATTTTACCTACTGCCTCACGAACTTCCCCCACACTCACAACTGGCTCTTCCTCACTCCTACAGATGTTATTCCTCCTTGCCCTATACACGAAATCACAGCTTCCCTATCTTCATCAACATTTAACAAATTCCTCAAAATATTCCCTCCATCTTCCCAATACCTCTAACTCTCCATTTAATAACTCTTCTCTCCTATTTTTAACTGACAAATCCATTGTTCTCTAGGCTTTCTTAACTTGTTAATCTCACTCCAAAACTTTTTCTTATTTTCCAACAAATTTGTTGATAACATCTCACCCACTCTCTCATTTGCTCTCTTTTTACATTGCTTCACCACTCTTTAACCTCTCTCTTTTTCTCCATATACTCTTCCCTCCTTGCATCACTTCTACTTTGTAAAAACTTCTCATATGCTAACTTTTTTCTCCCTTACTACTCTCTTTACATCATCATTTCCCCCAATCGCTCCCCTTCCCTCCTGCACCCACTTTCCTGTAACCACAAACTTCTGCTGAACACTCTTACACTACATTTTTAAACCTACCCATACCTCTTCGACCCCATTGCCTATGCTCTCATTAGCCCATCTATCCTCCAATAGCTGTTTATATCTTACCCTAACGCCTCCTCTTTTAGTTTATAAACCTTCACCTCTCTCTTCCCTGATGCTTCTATTCTCCTTGTATCCCATCTGCCTTCTACTCTCAGTGTAGCTACAACTAGAAAGTGATCTGATATATCTGTGGCCCCTCTATAAACATGTACATCCTGAAGTCTACTCAACAGTCCTTTTATCTACCAATACATAATCCAACAAACTACTGTCATTTCGCCCTACATCATATCTTGTATACTTATTTATCCTCTTTTTTTTAAAATATGTATTACCTATAACTAAACCCCTTTCTATACAAAGTTCAATCAAAGGGCTCCCATTATCATTTACACCTGGCATCCCAAACTTACCTACCACACCCTCTCTAAAAGTTTCCTCCTACTTTAGCATTCAGGTCCCCTACCACAATTACTCTCTCACTTGGTTCAAAGGCTCCTATACATTCACTTAACATCTCCCAAAATCTCTCTCTCTCCTCTGCATTCCTCTCTCTCCAGGTGCATACACGCTTATTATGACCCACTTCTCGCATCCAACCTTTACTTTAATCCACATAATTCTTGAATTTACACATTCATATTCTCTTTTCTCCTTCCATAACTGATCATTTAACATTACTGCTACCCCTTCCTTTGCTCTAACTCTCTCAGATACTCCAGATTTAATCCCATTTATTTCCCCCCAACTGAAACTCCCCTACCCCCTTCAGTTTTGGGTTTCGCTTAGGGCCAGACATCCAACTTCTTTTCATTCATAACATCAGCAATCATCTGTTTCTTGTCATCAGCACAAACATCCACGCACATTTAAGCATCCCAGTTTTATAAAGTTTTTTCTTCTTCTCTTTTTTAGTAAATTCTACAGGAGAAGGGTTACTAGCCCATTGCTCCCGGCATTTTAGTCGCCTCATACGACACGCATGGCTTACGGAGGAAAGATTCTTTTCCACTTCCCCAGGGACAATAGAAGAAATAAAGAAGAACAAGAGCTATTTAGAAAAAGGAGAAAAACCTAGATGTATGTATATATATATGCATGTGCGTGTCTGTGAAGTGTGACCAAAGTGTAAGTAGGAGTAGCAAGATATCCCTGTTATCTAGCGTGTTTATGAGACAGAAAAAGAAACCAGCAATCCTACCATCATGCAAAACAGTTACAGGTTTCTGTTTCACAGTCATATGGCAGGATGGTAGTACCACCCTGGGTGGTTGCTGTCTACCAACCTACTACCTATATTTTATGTATCCATATTTGTAATTTGCAATAAACTTTTGTTATCATATATGGATAACATCATTTAAAACCTACCATAAAGTTTTATATTATTGCTGTTGTTTACAGAGGACCCTGAAGAACGTGTCAACCTGGCGGAGATAATGGAGGAACTGGTCATTGATATGTTAGAGTTTCTAGAGCAGCAGATGTCTCGTTATGTTCCCGCTGACTACCAGCCTTGTGACCCCGCCGGTGACCCCATCAACTTTGACAACGTCTGGACCCCAGGATGGTGTTAACCAATGCTGTTAACCAATACTGTTAACCAATACTGTTAACCTGATGACAGCCACAAGATAAGCCTACACTATAATGTTTCGCTCCAGCAGAGCTTTTATAAAGTTACCTTCAAGTTAACTTGACAAAATTTCCCTGGAGTGAAACGCTGATATAATAATGACTTAAACTGTTTCATGAATATTTGTCATGTACTTGGCGACTCATTGTGTCTTTTACCATCACCATCATGGGATGGCGTTAACCTCCATAATGTGTCAACACAGCACCGCATCCCATGACTGATGAAGCCATCATGGTTGTTAATAAAGGTTATAAAGATATAACCTGGGATAACACAATAAATTAAACACTATCTTCATTTCTTAACTGAAGAAAGATTCTCCTTATATTTTACAGGTATCAGTTTGACTAATGAAATCCGTATACAAATACTTACACTAACTATAATGATGGCCAACCTTTATTTGATGAAAATATATTAATAATAAAACTTTAGGCCTACCAGAAGAAACATTCTCCAGACCTTGCACACAATCCAACAAAATTTGCTCCTACAAGACAAAACCAAGACAATTTGCATTAATTTCACAAGACAAATTAGTTATTAAAAACTGATGCCGATCACAATTGTTTTATTATAATTAGGGGAAAGCACTAAACCAGTACGATTTTCATAACGCTTCTGGAATGGGATTTGATCCAAGGGACTGTCATTCCAGTTCTTTGGATGAAGAGCTCTTTATCAGCATCAGGGCAAAATTATGCATTACTGTAAAATAATTTGATACCATTTCGAGATTAAATGTGGAAAACATCAGCCAGAGACAACATGAACAACAGCAACGTCCTAAGTAGGATAAACCAGTGCTGAAGTTTACAAGCTGAGCAAGCGAGTTTTCTCCATTTGTTACAGTAAACAATACTGGAAACTCACGGTAGGATACTACCACTGTGTAGAATACAACTGTCTTAGGATTAATACTGTCAGTGAGATCTGGCCTCTGTTGAGTTATGTCTCAGAGGGATCTGGCCTCCGTTGGGTTACAACTGTGTGGTCAAACTCCCATGGAAAACCACTCACGGGTCGGGAACTTTTCGTGGATCGTGAATATACTTGGATCACAACCCTCCAGGGGTTACAACCCTCCAGTGCCCACAACACTCCATGGTCCACAACCCCCCGGGCCCCCAGGTTGGTCACAACCCCCAGTGGTCACAACCCTCCAGTGGTCACAACCCTCCAGTGGTCACAACCCTCCAGTGACCACAACCCTCCAGTGGTCACAACCCTCCAGTGACCACAACCCTCCAGTGGTCACAACCCTCCAGTGGTCACAACCCTCCAGTGGTCACAACCCTCCATTGTCACAACCCTCCAGGGGCCCACAACCCTCCATTTGTCACAAACCCCCCATGGTCACAACCCTCCAGTGGTCAAAAACCCTCCAGTGCCACAACCCTCCATGGGTCAAAAACCCTCCAGTGGTCCACAACCCTCAGTGGTCACAACCCTCCAGTGACCACAACCCCCCCATGGTCACAACCCTCCAGTGGCACACCCTCCAGGGTTTCCAACCCCCATGGTCAAAAACCCCCCCAGTGGTCACAACCCTCCATGGTCACAACCCTCCAGTGACCACAACCCTCCAGTGGTCACAACCCTCCAGTGACCACAACCCTCCAGTGGTCACAACCCTCCAGTGACCACAACCCTCCAGTGGTCACAACCCTCCAGTGGTCACAACCCTCCAGTGGTCACAACCCTCCAGTGACCACAACCCTCCAGTGGTCACAACCCTCCAGTGGTCACAACCCTCCAGTGGTCACAACCCCCAGTGACCACAACCCTCCAGTGGTCAAACCCTCCAGTGTCACAACCCCCAGTGGTCACAACCCTCCAGTACCACAACCCTCCAGTGGTCACAACCCTCCATGGCCCACAACCCCCAGTGGTCACAACCCTCCAGTGACCACAACCCTCCAGTGGTCACAACCCTCCAGTGGTCACAACCCTCCAGTGGTCACAACCCTCCAGTGACCACAACCCTCCAGTGGTCACAACCCTCCATTTGGTCAAAAACCCTCCAGTGGTCAAAAACCTCCAGTGACCACAACCCTCCAGTGGCACAACCCTCCCATGGTCACAACCCTCCAGTGTCACAACCCTCCAGTGACCAAAACCGCCAGTGGTCACAACCCTTTCCATGGTCACAAACCCTCCAGTGACCACAACCCTCCATGGTCACAACCCTCCAGTGACCACAACCCTCCAGTGGTCACAACCCCCGTGGTCCAACCCTCCGGGGTGGTCACAACACCTCCAGTGACCAAACCCTCCAGTGGTCACAACCCTCCATGACCAAACCCTCCATGGTCACAACCCTCCAGTGGTCACAACCCTCCAGGGGTCACAACCCTCCAGTGTCACAACCCTCCATAAACCACAACCTACACCTTGAGAAAACGCTGCAGTGGGGTTTATAAGCTTATTTCGTTTGGAATTGTCATTAGAAATCCCCAAAGAGGATTTTCAGTGGTTTAATTTTTTTTACTTTTTTCCAATGGTACGTTTTATTTTGCTTAAAAAACCGAAAGATTTATCTGAACGCCTGCAAATTTTAAACCCACACCCATGAAAGTTTTTTCAAGTGCATATTCTTAGATTATTATTATAATCAAGGGAAGCGCTAAACCGGGGGATTAACAGCGCCAGGGGGGGGAATTGGAAGGCATTCAGGCCTAATTCGGGACTGAGCACTGACAATAATTAAATCAAAACCCCTCACCAACACCCAAGGAACATCCTTGAGGGGCAAGATTCTTAAAAGAAATTTGGGTATTGAAAATTCATTTTGACCAAATTGTTGAACCATTCCAAGCAACTTTGAATGCTCCATAACTAAAAAATCCTCAGCAACATAATTTTAAACTTCAAAGTGCTTCCCTAATCGGTGTTTAGGAGAAAAAAAAATACCAAAAGTATAGTGACATATTTTTTCCCCAGATGACTTCGTCCTGGAAACACGTTCTTACAGCATAGTAATAACAACGTATAAAAGAGATTGATCAATGAAAACATGGCCCACAGATGCACCACTTCATCCTCTTCCCTACTTGTATGTTTAAATAAAAATATTTTAATGTTCATAACAAAATGCTTCAAATGAAGGTGGGAAACCTTCGCTTTTTCAATAAAGTTATGATCCTTTAAATTTGTCATCAGTTGTCAATAAAGTTATGAACCTTAACTAACCATGTTAAACCCAATGTTTAATAAAAACACGGTTTTCCTACATTTTGTAAGTAAATAGAGTGAATTTTTACCCTTTTAAACCAGGTTTAGATATTAGGATTTCCTCGACTGATTATCTAACAGCCAAGATAACACTACCCTCGTCTGATGTAATCTAACAGCAAAGATAACACTACTCGTCAGATGTAACTAAACAGCATAAGATAACACTACCTCGTCTGATGTATCTAACAGCAAAGATAACACTCCTCGTCTGATGTATCTAAACAGCCAAGATAACACATTACCTCGTCTGATGTATCTAACAAGCCAAGATAACACATTATCCGTCTCTGATTTATCTAACAGCCAAGATAACACATCTCGTCTGAGGGTATCTAACAGCCAAGATAACACTACCTCGTCTGATGTATCTAACAGCCAGATAACACTACCCGTCTATTATCTAACAGCCAGAAACACTACCTCGCTGATGTATCTAACAGCCAGTAACACTAACCTCGTCGATGTATCTAACAGCCAAGATAACACTACCTCGTCGGGATGATCTAACAGCCAAGATAACACTACCTCGTCTGATGTTATCTAACGCCAAGATAACATACCTCGCGAGTACTAACAGCCAAGATAACACACCTTTCGTCTAAATTTAAATCTAACAGCCAAGATAACACTACCCGTCTGATGTATCTAACAGCCAAGATTAACCTACCTCGTCTGATGATCTAACAGCAAGATAACACTACTCGTCTGATGTATCTAACAGCCAGAAACACATACCTCTCTGATGTACTCACCAAGATAACACTACCTCGTCTGATTTTTATCTAACAGCCAAGAAAAACACTACCTCGTCTGATGTATCTAACAGCCAAGTAACCTACCTCGTCTGATGTATCTAACAGCCAAGATAACACTACCTCGTCGATGTATCAAAAACAGCCAAAGATAAACTACCTCGTCATGTATCTAACACCCCAAATAACACTACCTCGTCTGATGTATCTAAACACCAAGATAACACTACCTCGTCGATGTATCTAACAGCCAAGATAAACACTAACCTCGTCTGAGTATCTAACACCCAAAGATAACACTACCCTTCGTGTATCTAACAGCCAAGATAACAAACCTCGTCTGATGTATCTAACAGCCAAGATAACCTACCTCTTTCTGATGTTATCTAACAGCCAAGATAACACTACCTCGCCTGATGTATCTAACTGCCAAGATAACACTACCTCGTCTAATGTATCTAACACCAAGATAACACTACCTCGTCTGATGTATCTAACAGCCAAGATAACACTACCTCGTCTGTTTGTATCTAACAGCCAAGATAACACTACCTCGTCTGATGTATCTAACACCCAAAAGATAACACTTCCTCGTCTGATGTATCTAAGAGCCAAGATAACACTTCCTCGTCTGATGTATCTAACAGCCAAGATAACACTACCTCGTCTGATGTATCTAACAGCCAAGATAACACTACCTCGTCTGATGTATCTAACAGCCCAAGATAACACTACTCGTCTGATGTATCAACAGCCAAGATAACACTAACCTCGTCTGATGTATCTAACAGCCAAGATAACACTACCTCGTCTGATGTATCTAACAGCCAAGATAACACTACCTCGTCTGATGTATCTAACAGCCAAGATAACACTACCTCGTCTGATGTATCTAACAGCCAAGATAACACTACCCCGTCTGATTATCTAACAGCCAAGATAACACTACCTCGTCTGATGTATCTAACAGCCAAGATAACACTTCCTCGTCTGATGTATCTAAGAGCCAAGATAACACTTCCTCGTCTGATGTATCTAACAGCCAAGATAACACTACCTCGTCTGATGTATCTAACAGCCAAGATAACACTACCTCGTCTGATTATCTAACAGCAAAGATAACCCCTACCTCGTCTGATGTATCTAACAGCCAAGATAACACTTCCTCGTCTGATGTATCTAAGAGCCAAGATAACACTTCCTCGTCTGATGTATCTAACAGCCAAGATAACACTACCTCGTCTGATGTATCTAACAGCCAAGAAACACTTACCTCGTCTGATGTATCAACACCAAGATAACACTACC